AACAAATATGGAAGTTGAACTAAACAGGAGTGATAGTTGGTGGGAAGGATCGACATTGATTTGGAATTTCAATTTTCCATATGGAATCTGAGTGGTGGATTGAGAAAGATCGCTTGAGGACATAAATTTGAGTGATGCTTATTTTAGAACTTCATAGTAGTTATATAATTCAGTGATAGTGGTGTTATAGTATGTGGATGTCCATATTAGTGGATGCAAAGTGCTATTTCGAAGGAGCTTTATGAAGATTTTGGAGCAGCAGCTCTACTTCATATATATAGACGGAGGAATTAATCGAGAGATTAAATTAGACCATAAAGGATATGTTTGAGGCGTATATCCTAGATTTTCATGGACTATTGGAAGTGTGTACTTCACTTGTCGGAATTTTGTCTGTGATATTGTTGGCACAAGGAGGTTAGTATGACAACTTTGGAGGTTTTGTATCTTTCACAATGCATACCTCTCATTTGTTAGTTAGAAATGGAAGTATGGGTTGTACAATTAGACCTTGACTTCATTTAAAAATATGTCGAAAAGAGATATTTCCCTTTGTATTGAACTGCGCGCGGTTGGGAGACAACAGTAAGATGTTGTAAATAGTTGAACTCGTATACTAGAGTTTTTCTATCAGGGAGTAGTTTACTCATTCTGTTTTCTATGTAGGAAGAAGGCGATTTTTGGAGAAAGGTAAATTTTACTTATTACATTGACTTTTAGAAGATTGTGTTTCGCAATTGAGGCAGTCGCCTCTGAATTAGCGTTACCAAATTATTAGCGCTGGGTGCATAGGAGTTTGTGCGTATATTCTATAGCACTTGGAGGTATGTAGATCATTCTCTTGTCGACATGTGAGGATTACGTTGATACAACCTACGCATCGTATGATTATTGTGTTTCTTAAAATATAGGAACCCTGTATACCACTTGGTATATTGGAGTTAAGTGAAGCCCTTATAGTGAGGCTGCGTCTACTTGGGAATATGAGGATGTTTTTCGCTCACAATTTCCAAGCATAATGGAAGAATAATGTAAGGAAGTAAGGGCGAATTCCGAGGACAGAATTCCTTTTGTTAGGGGGTAAGAATGTAATACCCCTAATTTTAAAAAGATAGTCTCGGTATTTATTTATTTATTTTTATTGTATTTTTTTAATTGTTTAATTGATTATTTGACTAATTGTTTATGTGTTTAATTGAATTAAGTGTTCCTTGATTAATTGGTTACTTATCTATGTGTTATTTGTATTTTGTCTAGGTGTTATTTGTATTATTTGTTTAATTAGATTGGGTGCTTAAATGATATATTTGATTAATTGTAATTAATTGTAAATTAAATGATTAAATGTTTTATTTTATTTTATTTTATGGTTATGGTTAGTGGTAATGGGCTAACTAATTGTGTCCTATGGACTACTTGGATAGGAGGTTGGATGGGTATGGATAATTACCCATGGATAGTTGTATATGTATATATATAGATATATATGTATATATATATATATATAAAGGAAAGTAATTTATTAATATTATAGTAACTTTAGTATTAATAAATTATCTGATGTATATATTTTATTTATTTAATGAAGATACAGATAGATTATATACGTAACATGTTTTAAGTTACTTTTTAATATTATGGTAACTTTAGTGTAAATAAATAATCTGATGTATATATTTTATTTATTTAATGAGGATATAGATAGATTATATACGTAACATGTTTTAAATTACCTTTTAATATTATGGTAACTTTAGTATTAATAAATAATCTAATGTATATATTTTATTTAATTAATAAGGATATACATAGATTATATACGTAACATATTTTAAGTTACCTTTTTAATATTTTCATTTTTTATTTTTCTTTATTAAGTTGACTTGGATTGGGAAAAGAAATAGGGTTATTATTTAGCCTATAAATACACAACTATGGGTTGAAAAAGGAGTGAAATTATATCACGTAATATATTCTATAGAGAAAGAGTTAGAGAGAGAAGGAGAAAGAGGAAGGAAGGAGGAGAAAACCCTGTAGAGAAGACCAAGGAAGAAGAAGTTTAACTTTCGATTCGAAAGTTTAAGGCAAGTTCTTCTTCTATCTCTTTCCCTTTGATTCGTGTTTCTGTACATGCCTAGGAAATTCCAGAATTTATTAAACACATAAAATTAAATAATTATGCATGTTTAATTGGATTAGAACATATGTTTTATGAATTTGGTTCATATCTGTTCTTGTGTTATGAATTGATAAATACATGATTTTGATTTGATTTCTGGTGTGAATTTTTACATGTTTAAATTATGTATTTTTCATATCTGTGGAACAATGGAACGTAGAAACATGTCTAGGATTCCTAAACATTAAATAGAAACTAGGTTTGAGTTTAAATAAATTTAAATAGACTCAATCATAATGATGCTTGCAATTTGAATGTTTTAAACAAATGAATGAATTTAATCTTTTAATATATTTTAGCAATTGAGATTAAATGTGTAGGATGAATTGGACATGGAGAATGCTTATTTGACGGTATAATAAAATATCGTCATATGTATAAGATTCAGTTTATGTAGGACATATGATATAGGAAGCTTAAATAAATAATAAGTCATTCCTATTTTGTGATAATTTGATATCATATTATCATAGTTATTTCTGGATTGTTTGATGTATTTCCTTAATCGTTACATTAATTGTTGGATTGTGTGGTTTAATGCACCGGTATGGGACGGTGGCATTCTAGGGACGGATTAACTTATCAGTTAAGTCCTACCTATTTTATATAGGGGAATGGATTAACTAAAATGTTAAGTCCTACTTATATTCAAGTCAGGTCAGCTGAACAAGTTGAATGACTGATGGATAATTAATTTATTATATAAGGGAATGGATTAACTAAAATGTTAAGTCCTACTTATATTCAAGTCAGGTCAGCTGAACAAGTTGAATGACTTATGGAGGATTAATTTATACCGGATAGGATGGTTACTAGATTTTATATATATAAGTATGGTGCCATGATATGAGCTTAAGTCTCAGGATCAGTGGTTAGGGTGCGTATATCGCCAGGGATGTGTAGCTAGATATAGTGTTGTTGTGTACCCTGGTAGGTCTAGGTATTCATGCCCACTATATGTGCGTTTTGCATGTTGCCTACGATTCAGGTTGAGACAACCCTATAGTCTAGTGAGGTTCCTTTAGTGTGTATATATATATATATATACGGACTACTAGTTACTATTGTATTGACTAGGATGTATACGTGTATCGGATCTCTGCTTGGACTGTAGTAGAGTAAAACTTGTTTGTGGGCCTGACCCACCATTATTTTTCAAGTGTTCGTCAAGAGTAGAGGTTGTTCGTGCTGAGCAAGGATCAATCTACTTCATTCTTCCGATGCTACATAGAAGTTCCTTTATGATTCAGTTTCTTGATTTAGACAGTTATTGCTATCATTTGTTTAGTTTGAATTTTCTAGGGGTCCACACAATATGGATTCCCGAGTTGTATTTTGGAGGGTCAGTTGTATCAAAAGAGTTTATTAATTAATGAAAATATATTCTGAGGTTTATTATTAGATTATCATTTTAGTTTCTTGTCAGCATTTTATTTATTCTTCTTTATTCTTTTGTACTCTTTGTTCGTTTATTATCAATTTGTTTTGATATCCTCGGGTGTTCGGGTATGGGCCTGGCCAACCCGCATTCGGAAATCCGGGGGGTATCACACATTATATATATATATATATATATATAATCATATATATATATATATATATATATATATATATATATATATATATATATATGGCAATTCTAAAAGAATATATTATACAATCATTTAATTTACTTTTATTTATGCAACTTTAAAGAAAAATTATGAGTTCCTAAACATCAGCTCTGATACCACATATAAATTTTAATAATTCGTGTTAAGCCATTAATCACAAATTTACATGAATCCCATATCTTAGAACTTAATGATTTTCACATATCTATAATGCATAAATAAATGGTTAGATATAAATACCGCGATTCATAATATCAAAACTTGTTGAGATTAAATCCAACGTCTAGATCCTTTAACCACGAACTAATCTGCAATTCTAATCAACAGGCAAAGGTGGAAATTGGTTTCTCTCTCTTGGCCTTTTACATACATAAAACTTTTACGTGTTGTATCATTAATCGTACATAATTGATAGAATATATACACTTTTATAAGGGCAAAGAGATGACCAGTTTTCCTTTTAGTAACATAATTCTACTTTCCATCAAAGTAAGGAATAAGAAAGGAAAACACTTCTCCAATAAATAATTACCAAAAAGGTAATTATAAGTTGACCAAAAATAAATAATATTAATTGATATCTATTTACTTAGTCACCAAGTAATATGTCACATGTCCAAATCATGTGGGCCACAATTAACTAAATAATTTTACACTTCATGCATTAGACTCTCTATGTTACCTTTACCTAAAAAAATTAGAAGTAATATATATTCACCCATATATATTACTTCTACATTATTACTAGTTTCAGCTCGTTCAACTTCGATAGTAATAATATAGAAGTAATATAGTGTTTTCATGCAAAAATAATAAATACTGGTAGAATTTTAGTTTACTTAATTTTGGATAGGAGAAGTCATAAAAACTGTTAGATTTTATCAGTTTCTTGCTTTAAAATCACTGAAGAAAAAATAAAAATAAATAAAAATAAAAAGAATTTATCTCTAATAATCTTCACTTTAAAAAAAGGCACAATACAAATTAGTAAGATTTATCTCTGACAATCTTAACTTTGAAAAATCAACATCAAGCAATTAAGAGCAGTAGAGCACCTACTTTGTGAAACAAAACTATCATATTACTTTGTTATAATTCATATCAATGAGTTTATGAGCTGCAGAATTGTCTAATATTAGTAGGAGGAGTAAAAATGCAACTATTCAGCACCAAAAAAAAAAAACTGAATTTGGTTGCATGACCATCACCTGTCCAGGTTCACCCTGAACCTCCGCCCATTAGCGAGCCCTCGTTGATACCGAGTCAAATAACGAGGCTCTGACTGCACATTGCCTCTCTCTGTCGATAATGGGCCTCGTTGATACCGAGTCGAATAATGAGGCTCTGACTGTATATTGCCAATCTCTGTCCATGATCCCCTCGCTTGGTCTCTCCTATTCTCTCTTCCTCCTTCAGGCACTCTTCTTTCTTCCTGTCTGTTTAGAAGAAGTCTTGATTTTGAAGGGTTCAAACTTTTTAGTCTGCTATCTTCAGAGGACAAGGGTTGAAGTCCCTGCAAATCAGGCTCTGGAACAAATCCAATAGGCCATTTTGATTGATCCATCTTTCGGAAAGTAATTGATATCCTATGAGTTAGACAGGAAACATATTAATCAAAATCATTTATTCAAATAAACAAGAAAGAATATAATATCAAAAACTGCATCTAAAATAACCAAACTAGAGAGTGTCATGTACCTTTTAGTAGGTACTGCAAACACACAATGCTTAGCCACATTGATAAGCACTGAAAAGTGCGTATTTAAACCCCTTAAGCTTAGGCATTCTAGTACCTTTATCTATCTTACTTTACCGTTTTAGATTGATTTCGTATTATTTTCATTTTCAGGCACTTATCCCGAAAATAAGCTAACTCAACCAAATAAGAGTTTAATTGAAGCAATTCTGAGATTAAGCAAAGAAATGAGCAAAGTGGCGGAAGAAAGAAACAAAATGAAGCAAAGCAGCAAGTTCGATCAATCTAAGTCCAAGGTTCGATCAATCGAACATTGATCGATCTCAGCCTTCAAGATAGATCCAAGCCTTGACCCAAAGCACTTAAGTCCAAAAGTTCGATCGACCCAACATCATTCTTCGATCGATCGAACACCTTTGTCCTTATCCAAATGATTGATCATATCCACAGCTGTACCACCCACCAACCACTTTTGTCCTTTTCCCATAAATATCTCCTACAAATATCTCGGATTTGTCTTTTTCCAAAAAACTCAGCCAGTTGGATCGATCCAACCTAAGTTCGATCGATCTCACTTTCTTTCGATCGATCGAACTTCCTCCAATGCGAAAAAGTTAAAATTCCATCCCATTGAAAGTTGTCCTTTATCCAATCATTAGGGAATATTGTGTGCACGACCCCAGCTCATTTTGGGTGTCATTTTGACCTACATATATGAGGATAAGGATTGCTTTTTCAAAGAGGAGCCAACATTATTTTTGATATCATCTCTTGGAGAGGAAGTTTAAAGGAGAAGGCTAGAGACACCAATGGAAATCTTCATCAACAATGAGCAAACCTCTTCCATGGAGTTAGCCCTTGAGGGTTGGAGCATCATCACCATGAGTGGCTAGACATCCTCTTGGGGCTAGAGTTAGCCCCAAGCATGCTTTCTATATCTTAATCTTGTGTATTATTGAGGGATTAGTGTTGTAATTGATGTTTTAACACTTTGATATATATAGATCTTGTTTATTCAATGATTTATGTGGTTTAATGCTTCCAATTGGTCATTTCAGTCTATCCATATCTCTATGTATGCTAGAATAGATGTTCATATGTTTATCTCTAGATTTTGTGTTATTGATGCATGCCTATGTGTATTGATGCTATAGATTTAGAGATTGTCAAAACATTGTGCTTAAAAGAATGCTTTTGTGATTCTCTTGATGGTTCATGCTTACCTCTTGATGGATTGTGCCTCTCCCCTAGTTTATTTTCATGCTAGTAGTGTAGATGTAGTGTAGTTGTAGTGTAGTGTTAAATGGGAGGACAATCTATGCTTGTTGTTTGATGATCCAAGCTTGTGAATGCAATTAGCATATGTCTCTATCCTTGTGTTGTATTTGGATTGTGAGCTTAATGAAATGATTAATAATTTGTTTTGATTTATTGTGTCTTTCACATGTTGTTTAGACAATATATGCTTCATAACTTAGATATATTGTGCCTTTCACATGATGTTTAGACAATACATGCTTAACTAGTCATCCTTACTTGTTGAATCAACCAAATACACACACACACCAACATTGCAACACCCTAATTGCCCTCATTATTCACTTGTCAATAATATAGAAATGCATTACTTGGTGGTGATCTCTAAACCCCAAGACTCTTCTCTTTCTTACTTACTCCTAATTGTACTCTTTTGCTATTACTTAGTTTAATTTAGTTGCTATTTAATCAACAAATTATTTGATCACTCGACCTACTAGCCCTAATAGCGATTCCACAATCAACTCCGACATTGCTCAATCCCCATAATCCCTTGGGACGATCCCTTCTCACTCTTGCTACTTTAGTAGTAGTGTGGTAGTGGTTTTTATAAATTTAAACTTGATCCAAAAGGCTTTTCTTGAACCGCACATTAGTTACATTAATTTGGCATGTAAGAACAACCATTATTCGTCACACATCGGCCCCATTTCCTTTTAATACAAGGACAGATCTCGATGAGAACCAAAAACAATGAATTTCAACTTTAAGAATTTGATTTCTCGGAAACAAAAATTAAATTTAATAAATAATAAATAAAAGCATAGCATGCAGTAGATGGAATAAAAGAAACAGAAAATGTATGAAAGCTGATATGCACATCAGACTTACACCAGGGGCAGCGGGATTTCGCTAGGACCAGTAAACTCGCCAGCACCCATAACTTCCAAGTGTGTTCCAAAGATTATATTATACTAACTCAGAAATGAAACAGTACAAAATGGTCGAACAAACTGATGGTTGTCAATGTGAGGAGGTATGCAGTCGCCTTCATCATAAATGTTGACGATACAGCTGTCAGGTACACAGGATGGAGGAAGAACATGCCATCTTATGAGCCTCCTGATGATCACTTTAAAAAGATGTGGTAGAGGATCCACAATTTCATTCCACATGATGCCTGGTCGATTACCATTTTATCCTGCCACAGTATTGAAAATTTGAAATTATAAGCTCTTCTATTCATTTTACACACTTTTTTCACTCTAGAGCTGTCACACAATTATCATATCTACTAGAGCTTTGATTAGAAAATTTTACCAGTCAACAATTAATTGTTATCCAAAACTATGGTTTAATTATATTATATACTATAGTATTATTTATTTAAATATTATCTGTAAATATAAAATAATAATCTATAATTATATAATTTTTTTATAATATATAGTTTAATATAATCAAATAAAACTATAAAATAAATGAACCTGATTAAAAGTCGAGGCTATAATTTGATTCTACGTCCTTAAGACAAATTCGTCCCGCTATGGTGTTAACGGATTCAGTGGCGTCTATCTCCCAGAATACAACGACTTGTCTTCCTTCGGTAGTAGCACTGTAAACCAAAGGAATAGGCGAACCGGCTCGGTGAAATACTCTCTGACTCGAACTCGGACTCGGAGTGACTGACTAAGGTTCAAACCAAATACTAAGGCTTGAACCCACAGACTCAAAAGAGAAAGAGGAAGAAGAAAATTCAGAAGAAGAGAAGAATTCTCTGAATTTTGGTGTGTCTTGGAATGAACCCAATGAGGGGTATTTATAGGCTACATGGTGCCTTTTTCCGAATGGGTGCAACTATTGGTTCACAATGGTTCAGGAAAAACTACAGGTGGTTTATTCTATAAAATGGTGCAACCATTAGTTCATAATGGTTCACATAAAACTGTTTTATGGTTTTAATTTAAATTAAATACCAAAATTGTTTTAATCCATTATGAAGCCCAGCAAACAAGCCCAATTTGGCCATCTTAATAAGCCCAGCAAAATAATATTAAAATCCAACTACATAAGCCCAATTTCGTTTAATAAAAAATTAAACATATTTCATAATCAAGCCCTGCCCTAGCCCTGACGGGACGGGACGTGTGTGGTAGTTGGTTCAGACCTAAGCTTGCTTAGGTCCTCCCCTCTTAAAAACTTGGGTGCGCTTGGGCCCAAACCCAAATCCCATACTAGGCTTATATGAACTCAATTTGGTTTTAATACTTTGTCGATGTGGGACAAACATTTTCCACATTTTGCAAACCCATTTAGGCTTAGCAAATACCTTACTTTGGAGCTAATTTCTCATTCACCTGGAAACGGATTTGAGGAAGTAAATATACCACGTTCATCTCCTTGCAGAGATGAATGAGCTCGTCTATAGATCCGAAAATAATTTTTAACGGAATCTATTCAAAATCTCATCCAAAGTTTATGTTTTTAATGCCCTTGTTTCCAACAATCCCCCACATGAATGAAAATTTGCGTAAATTGCAAATGAAGAAGATACAGACATTAGAGAAAGTACTATTGGAAAGTAACTACATTGGGATAGGTAACTTTTGGCCTTGAACCTTCCCTAGTGTATTACTATCGGATTTATTGGCTAACCAGTGAACATGATTTCTTGAACTGTTCAGTCGTTGATGTAAACCAAGACAATAGCAAACACACAATTCCTTCCCACACAAAGTCAGTTCTCACGGTTGTGTTCATATGGCCCTGAACAACTCCTAGTATTTCACGAGTGCTCTAGAAAACTTAACCTTAGAAGTTCTCATAGAAGCGACCCCACTTCACACTCATATAGGTGACTTCTTATTAAGAGTATCCTACTATATACCCCACTTGAATTTTCAAGGTATAAGAGTCATTAAAAGCATAGCTTATCCTGCTCATCGCTGTAGGTAGCACTGTCTCATCATAGAAATGGGTAGAAGATTAAATCTTCCCAGTGCTTCTGATAAGCCATTTAGAATTTTTGTTGTCCCTTTGAACCTAGATCTTGAGATCTCCAGTCAACTAGGTTGAGTTTCCATTAAGATGACTCGTTAGCTTTCGGCTTTAATCCCATTCCCCTCGATGAACTATACACTTGCTCTCTTGTCAAACCTTTTGTAAACGGATCCACTAAATTATCTTTTGACCCAATATAATCTATTGATATTATCCCACTTGAGAGGAATTGTCTAACGGTATTATGTCGTCGACGTATATGTCGAGATTTACCATTATATATATTACTTTGTGCTTTTCCTATTACTGATTGACTATTGCAATGTATACATATAGCGGGCACAGGTTTAGGCCAATTTGGAATATCTTCTAAGAAATTACGAAGCCACTCAACTTCTTCACCAACTTTATCCAAAGCAATAAATTCAGATTCCATAGTGGATCTGGCAATACAAGTTTGTTTTGAAGATTTTCAAGATATGGCACCTCCTCCAATAGTAAAGATATAGCCACTTGTGGATTTAGAATCATTCGTATCTAATATCCAATTAGCGTCACTGTATCTTTCAAGTACTGCTGGATATCTAGAATAATGTAATTCACAACTTATG